TGGAAACGCTGCCTTTTCTGCTCTATTTTACTATGAACCTAAATCTGCTCTTAAATAAAACAAAGTTTATTAATAAAAAAGTTAAAGAAAGAAAGAAAAGCAGGAATACAGGGGAAGAGTATTGCAAACAGAGGAAACAGCGTGTGCAAAGGGCCCTAGGTAAATCAGAGTAACAGAGTCATGGTCACTGTCAAGGTCATTGTGGCTGGAATGCAGAGGGCAGGGATGGAGGTTTAGGGAGAAAGTGGGGCCAGAAGAGCCCAAGAATCAATCCTTGTCTCTTTTCCTCTTTGCCAATGGACATTTACAGCACAGAGGAGCCCATAACTTAAAAAGAAAAAGTGACATCCTAACCAGGTATGGAAATACAGCCTCAGTCGTGGAGTGGGCCTCCTACCCTCTCCCCCGGATGATTCTTCCCTGCCGTCATTAGCCAAGCAAGCTCAGGGGTGCAGACAAGCTCAAAACAGGCACTACAGGCTTCTGCTGGAGGACCGAAAGAGACCAAAGCTCTCATCCCGCCCTCGTGACAGTTCTGAGTTGTAACTCAGTCCATTCCCACCCCGTGTCAACAAGCAGCTGTTGGCAGGGCAGCCGATACCCAAAGCACAGTTCACAGGCACCAGGCAGAACGAGGAAACATCGTCTCAGGGACTAAAACAGTCCTGTGATTCAAAAAGGCACATGAGACTACAAGGATCTGCAAAATAGAAAGCCAAGGAGAATCTTCACCACTTCAGGCAAAAAAGCTGCACGGGCTCGCGCAGAGGGCCTACACACCTGCACATGTGGCCCCTAACACTTCCCCGGGCCATGGCGAGGTTCCAACTTTCATGGCGTTTCAATGAGACACTGACCCAGAGAAAGAGCACGCACGCTGGGGTTGGAACAAGTCCCCCAAACTGTGGTACAATCTGCTAGCAGAAGCAGCTCATGTGTGCTGATGGATAACCCAGACCGTGAGAAAATGGAACAGGACAGGGAGTTCTTTCAGGTGAGAGTAAGTGTCGGGGATGGCTACCTTTAGTGCGTCCCTGGCCGGAGGCTCAAGACTGAACAGGGAGCAACACAAAAGCAAAATTGAAGGCTCTGAGCAAAGGGGGAGGGGCCACGATGAGTCCCTCATGAAAAGTAGCACCAACCAGCACAACTGGAGGATATCCTAGAGACCCTCCCTCCAATCCCAACTCCCTGCATTTTCTGGAGATTCTCCCTCCAATCCCACCTCCCTGCATTTTCCCAAAAAACGCGCTGAGGCCCAGAGAGGTCAGCTGGCCTCCACGGAACCAGTTAGCAGCAGAAGAGGCTTAGCTTGAATAGGACAACAACTCAAAGTTGAGTCCTCCCTGCTCTGCACGGCACTGTCACTATTTCCCAAAGCACCAGGCACCAGCTAACAGTTAGGGCATGGGCTTTGGAATCAACCAGATCTGGTTCAAAGTCTGGCTCTACCCCTTACTAACAGTAAGTTTCACGAATCCTTGTGTTACTCAGTTTCCTCCTCTGTAAGCTGGGGACAGCCACCACCACAAATAACCTGCCGGACTGCTGTGAGCATCAGAGAGAACACATGCAAAACGCCTGGAGCGTGGATGAGGGCTGAGCAAGGGCAGCGATGATTCTGTTTCTAGAGGTCCCCAGAATTTGCATTCCTGCAGAAAGTCTTGCCAGAGTGAAGCTGCCCCCCGCCCCCAGCAATTCTGGGGCTGTGGTCTCCATTTTTTATTAGAATGTTCTCACCAGCAAAGGCATAAAGGGACCCAACCCATGCCACAGACTTTTTACTCAGCATGTAAACTTACTTTGTTTGCTTTGAGACTGACTCATCCACCTATTTCTGGGAGGACATAAAATGCTTTTAAAAATTTAACACACAGTGCAGAATTAGAGAATCAATATTCAAACAAAGTCTGCCTGAAGGCTGTGGAGAATAAGTGCTAAGAGGGATGGCTAGAAGCTGAAGACAAAAGGAGAATGTGCTGGGTCACACACATCTTACTTTCTGTCTGACTGGAGAAAGCAGCCCCTAGGAACCCGTGCAGCCAGGATGACTGGCAACTTGGAAGGCAGAGCCCCTGGGCCACCCCTCCCCTGTCTCCCCAGGCCAAGGGCAGGCCTAGCTCAGGGAGAACAGGAAAGCAGCCCTAGTTCCAGTATGAACCACTCATCACACTTCCATCTACACAGTTTCAGAACAACCAACCTAGAGTCAACTTCTAGAAAGTCCTGGGCAAGCAATAAAAGTGGTAATGGGGAAATTACTATTCTGATCAAGAAAGGTTCGAGCATAGATTTCTAGGTAAAGATAAGAAATTAAGGGCAGTAGCATTATTCCCTTATCCAACCTAGCCAGGTAGAAGGCATTGGAAAAAATGCCTGCATTAATGACGGAGGCGTCCCTGGGCTGTGGACGCCTTTTAAATGGCCTCTCACAGCAATGTGACCTGCTGGGGGAAAAAACTTGTACTCGTAGAATCAGGGTCCTTATCCTAAATGGAATACTAAACAGAAAGTTTCCTTCTTTTTGCAAAGAACAGCTTTCCAAGAAATATAAAGTGGGCCACAGAGGTGGGATTTAAGGTCAGGCATGTGAACATTCCATAGCCCTAAATCCCACAAGTTGATAACAGTCTATCCCAGGAAAACCAGAGCGAGAATGAAACCAGAACAAAGAGCTCCCTGTGAGCTGCTTAAGCCTGCTATCAGCTCATCTCCAAGGGCTCAGGGTCACTCTCTGCTGGGGGGTGGAGTGGGGGCATGGCATGCGGCCCAGCCAGCTCCAGCCTCCATGACCCTGCTCTCCAGGCACAGCTCAAGGGCCTGCAGCTTCTCTCACGCTCAGTTTGCAGGATTAAGTGGAAGGGCCTTTAATCTGCGCCAATCAGGAGGCAGCAGAAAACTCGGCAAAGTCAGAAATGCTTAGCTCTTAAAAAAAAACTCTCAAAATCTAATTATCTTTAAAAATCTAAACATCATTGAAACAAATGATATCTGGGCTTCGCTTCAAATAACGGGAGAGAGAATGGTGAGGAACACAAATGAAACAAGATTGGCTAGTAGTTGGTCACTGTCAAAGATGGACAACAGGTACATGGGTTTCATTTCACTGTTCTCTCTACTTTTGTATGTTTGAGATGTTTCATTCTAAGTAAAAAAAAAAAAATCATACAAAAGCAATGTGAAAATGTAGGTAAATATAAAATTCAAAACCAGCGAAGAAAACAAAAACCACACATAGTCCTGTAACCAGAGACAACTACTGTTAACTCTTCTTTCTATTTGCTTCCAATCTTTTCCATATTCTTCTTTCTTCTGTTTGCAAAATAACGTCATATGTCTATACTTTTTTGTCACTTGCTCTCCATTCCTCTCTTACTTTATCTTGAGAATTATTCAAGTCTTTAAATGTCCTTTAAGGGTATGATTGTTACATAGTCTTTCATCAAAAGGTAAGTCAAAATCTATTTCCAATATTTGGCTTCTGTAAGTAAGGGTGTGGTGAACCAGAAAGGATGACATTTCTTATATAGGTGATTCCAAGTAAGAAAGAAATTTCTGGATATGTCCCCAAACATAAACGAACAACACACACAAAAAAGGAGAAATAGTAAGGGAGAAGCTGCTGGCTCCCAGACTAGATCATTCCAAGCACTTACTAACTTTCCAGGCACTTGCTATTGCAAAGGCCATGGTGGGAGGAAATGTCAACAGACATAAAACTGAAACATACTCGGGCGCCTGGGTGGCTCAGTTGGTTAAGCGACTGCCTTCGGCTCAGGTCATGATCCTGTAGTCCCGGGATCGAGTCCCGCTTCTCCCTCTGACCCTCCCCCCTCTCATGTGCTCTCTGTCTCTCTCATTCTCTCTGTCTCAAATAAATAAATAAAATCTTTAAAAAAAAAAAAAAAACTGAAACATACTCAGAAAGTGCCTCTTAGGCAACAATAATTCACACACCAGATCCAAGCAATGAGTTCAAGAAATCTGCTAGCATCTCTGAAATGCTCGAGTCTTGAAATACTAAGTTTCCAAAGGCAAGAAGAGTTGCACGGGCCTGGGGTGGTATAAGAAGGCTCTGTAGGCACAAGAGTGGACCCAATGGCTTCTCAGAGACCCCTGTGCCTCTAGCGTTCAGTCACGCCATGCCGATTACGCCAACAGAATTAATAGAACTGGACATTGCTTATCTTATCACTGAGTTCTTTGCCCCAAGCCTTAAAGATGATTTCCTCCCCGCAAAAAAGAAAATCCACAAAATTCTCAAGATAGGGAGATGAGAGGGATCTTGTTTTCTCTGCACTATTTAACCCTGCCAAGAACTAGATTTGGCAGAATATCTGTGAAGACAATGTCTCATACGATCGATGTCTGAATGCCAGCCAACAATGTAATTTTTCTTTCCGAAGCAAATCCATAAGTGGCCCATTTTGTGACACACTGTAACGACTGAGAGCTGAACACATTCTAGCTATGTTCCATCTGGCCTTCCTGGACTCCTACAAAGCCCAGGGAACCTCTGAATCAGACTATGTGGCTCTGGCCAGCAGCTGGGAAGGGTCACGCTGCAGCCATGCTGGATAGGGAGCCACTGTGAGACCTTCCTTAGGGGTGGCCCCAAGGACAGAGCGAATGACAACAGAGCTGCAGTGGGACCAAGAAGAGGACCGCAGGAGACTGCGCTT